AGTCCATAGAACAATCCATAGACCCAGTACCCTGCTCGTTTGGGAAATGGCTAATAAGTGCAGCAACCTTCAAAAAAACATTATTTTTCAGACTTTTTACTTACTCTATAGAGCTTCCAATAGTCTCTCTAAAAGCAACTTTCGGTTTACCAGAAATCACAGGACAATTATATTCTGTTTTCATTCTCTGAACGGAATTTTCAAACAGTTTCCAAATTACTTGGATATACAAGAGGTATCGACATATCAACAGATGTAAAAAAATGTTTTTCTTACTTTCATGAATGCCCACGTTTTTGTATTATAGCGATTATTAAAGGAAATCATATACCAACGCATTAACATATAGAGCAATAAAAGAAAAGTAAAAACAACACCTCTGTGTATATTTCCAAGTGCAGCTCACCCATACCAGATATGATTGTCTGAATGTAAAATTTAATATTATGATTCCAACAACGGGGGATCGTGGACAGGATTTGCGACAAAAAGTCCAAGTTTCCGAGAGTTAGTTCGGATAGTTAGTGCCTGTTTAAAAGCTCATTTAAAAGTCATCCACAAATGGATGACTTACGGATCCCTTTAACTAATTCCTTGAAGGCGGTGAAAACCTGAGCAGTGAGCAGTGAGCAAGTGTTGCTGACCTAACGTTTGACAGCTAGTTTGTCAAACATACATGTGAAACGCCATAATTCGGGAGTAAAATAGCGTTATATCGTTAGAGGGCATATCGTTATTGGTTATATCATGTAGCTAACGCATGCACAGTGCATGATCGCACCTCTTTACTCTCGTCGTCAAAATGTACTCTAAAAGTTGGATCTTCTCTTGTAAATCTGTTGATCGCTTTAGAAAATGCATCCAGGTCGTTCTATACAAAATCATGTGGTAAAAAGATGAAAGACAAGTTACACAACAAAAGAAAATATCAGTGGCGGCGAACGATCGTTAAATGAGAGGAAACATTCATATATTCACGTTCAGCCTTTTGAAATATATTGTTTTTACGGTCTGCTAACACCAATATAATAATATTAATCCCCCACCACCACCATTTTCGCCACCACTGCATATGATTCAATTACTTTTTAGGTCATATGGCCACATTTTTAAGTCATTAAGCCACATTTTCAAATCTGCAAATGCTAATGTACTCGAGAGTCGAGACATATCCAAGCATAAAAATATACCTTATTTTGAGCTTCTACGGCAAGAGATATAACTGGATCAGGCACAAATATCGGTTCCTATCAAGTGCAAATGCATGGATGAAATCATGATATCTAACAGCCCAGTGTAGTTGATTATAATCTGAAGAACAGCTAGGAGATAAGTTCTACTTTCAGTTCGTATAAAGACAGCTAGAAAGCATTGCCATAAAAAAATTATGTAAACAATGTACCATTGACATTTTTTGAGCTCCTTCAGCTGTAAAGGTATCTCCAGACGCGCAGTCGATTCCAAATAACGCACAAATATCCCCTGCTCTTACTTCACTTACATCCTACAAAAAATCAAATTCTCGCTCATCTCTTGAATTGGTCGAATGTTATGACACTAGACACTAGACATGATACTAATGTGTTATCAACAAATAATTACTCTGGCGTGAGCGACGTAGTATAGATATAGGGAGTAGTATAGACAGCATTATATTCGAACATGTAACAACGTTGTTGATAAAGTTTTGTGTACAAACCTCCATGACATCACTGTGCATTCTCACGATCCTGGGAACACGAACACGTTTCCCAGTTCTCGTATTGAAAATAAATGTTCCCTTCTTCAGAGAACCTTGATAGACCCTTACGTAAGTCAACTGACCATATTTTCCAGCCTAGGAAAACAAAAATATCATGTTTAAAAATTCTCCTAACATGAACATTTTAATTAGTCAAAATGCATGGGTTTGATGATACAAATGGATAGGATTTACCTCAAGTTTGAATGCCAGGCCAACAAAAGGATTTAAACCATCACCTGATGAATCCATCAAGATTTTTCTATCTGAACTAAATATGCATATATTAACCACAAAGTAAATAACCTCATTGAAATAAACTGATTAATCATTATGCTTACTCTTCAGGATCTAAAGCAAAATTTGCCACATCCGGAGGACTCGGCAAATAGTCAACAACTGCATCCAGTAAAGGCTAGATAGATATGAGAATTTTATGGATAAAACGAATTATACACCAAACAACATTTAACTACTTTACATAATCTAATTAAACGAATTAAAATTACTCGTTAATAAGAGTTTTGAGTAAAAGTGTAGCCGCACTATCATGCGTATTATAATAATTCGCATAATTTGGCGTAACGTGTACAGGGCTACCTCGTGATTCAAACATTTTGTGTCAACATACTGATTATAACATAAAATTACTTGTACGCCTTTATTCTTCAGAGCAGAACCAACGAAAACAGGCGTAAACAACCTTTTGATAGTCGACCGTCGAATAGCAGACTACAATGAAAAAATGCAGACTACAATGAAAAAATGCATTCAAGAAAATCGTTTGCGACAGTTTGATCCAATTAATTTTTCCTTTTAGCCCAGTGAGCTACACATGTATCTGGAATAAGACTTAAGACTTTCGTGAGGCCAAAAAGTGAAGCCAAAGATGACGGAAATTGACGCGCTATAGTACGTCAGTTTCGGTCTCCTGCGCGGAAATATTTGAATCCCTTTGAATATAAATAAACTTTGAACTTCGAACAAACAAACATCTTTTCCATTTACAAGAAAAACTAAGCAAAAATTCCTATTCATGTTGTGGATTATCGATGCGGAGACATTTGATACATGTAGAGCTCACTGCTTTAGCTACGCCCGCGAGTTATTTTAATGATCAATATAGCATTCAAGAAATATCATAACTACCGCATGACGAAAGTGCATGGATGGCTTCAAAATGTAGGTATAATTTTTGCTTAACTATAGCATCTCTATGAGAGAGCAAATGAACGAATGAAATTAAAAATTCCAAACTAAAAACTCTGTTAAATTAATATTTAACCACATTGACGCACCATCAGCTGATCACTCGTTGGTTGAATTTCCTCAAGAAATAATTCACCCAAGCCATCATCAACATTTGCAACAGCTTCTAAAAGATACCCGATTTGGAAATTGGACATTAAACACGATTCCTTTCCGGGGAAATGTAAAAAACAATAGAGAAATTTGAGATTTGAAGCACATTTTGGGGGCTTATATTTACCAACTAACTCTTCTCGCCTAACGTTTACTTCATGAACCATATCTTCGGGTATGACCTCTTCTCTTATATTGTTCCTATGAAAATACAACACAGAACCTCGAGATCGTTTCTATATTATCTATAACATAATTTTCCGTATCATATCTTTTCATATTTCCTACCCATACTCTCCATCAAAATATAGAGCTTTCCTTCTAATGATATCCACAACACCCGTGTGATTCCGTTCTAAACCAATTGGTAACTGCACAAACGCGGCATTGTGATTTAACTTTGCTCTGCAATATAAAAAAGTGGCCCTCATTGGTTGGTGTGATGCTCTTTTATGCATACTTTATCATTTAAACTTCATATGTAAAATTTTTCGTTCAAACTTCACCAGACAGTTCTATTGAATGTTTTTTTAGTAACAGAATACTTCCATCAAAATCAATACAAAGAAATTTAACAAATAAGAAATAGATTTTGTGGACAGTATTAATTGAATTCTTCAAACGGGGTAAAATGAATGCATGGTGCATTCTCAGTACCTAGCACGTACCTCATTTGACTAAGAACTTTTTTATGATTTGCACCCATCCTATCAATGATAAATAACATTGATTCAGTAAATGAATCCATTCAAAGTGTTAAGAGCCGATTATCCAGAGTTCACCTGTCAAGTTTATTAATGAAAGCAATGCACGGCACGTTGTATCTTTTCATCTGTCTGTTTACTGTCAATGTTTGACTCTATAATTTTTAAAAAACGTACGCTGAATTTCTACTATTTTGCGGCCTAAATTTAATTTTCATTTCGAACCGGAGTTTTTCAAAGTGGCCAAAAGACTGCTCTTCATCCAAAAACCAATAAATAGAAGAGTTTCCCCTCGAAGTTGTAAGGATGGGTTGACTGCTCATGAAAAATTATCCAATTTGTTTATTAATTTTAAAACATTTCTTGTATACCTGAACTCCTCCAACTCCGCACAAAACCAACACAGCACCATCAAGAACACGAAGAGCTCTTTCCACTTCAACAGTAAAATCAACATGACCTTAAAAAAAAATTTCCGCGTCAGAAAGTAGCTGCACCCACGTATCGTTTTCGCAGATAAATCTGGAAGTGTAAACTTTTGAATCCGCAACAAGATGTTTCCGAACACAAATGAATCAGTGGATACATCTGGAAGTGTAAACTTTTGAATCCGCAACAAGAAGTTTCCGAACACAAATGAATCAGTGGATACATGTGAATGTGTAAACTTTTGAATCCGCAACAAAGTGTTGAAGCATGCTAGGAGGGCGGTGAAGCATGGTGGGAATTAGTACTAAAGCATCCTGGGGTAAGTACTAAAGCATGGTAGGTATTAGTACTAAAGCATTAAAGGCCGTTAAATTTTATAATCTATACATAATTTATATTATTTATTTAAAATCATTATTAGTACTAAAGCATTTATTGACCTGGTGTATCAATAATATTTATATTATGATTCTTCCATTCAGCAAACGTAGCAATGAAACAAAAAAGACAGATCACTTTGAGATTACATTTACTAGAAAACACTCTGACAAATATAATTGATCTGATACAGTATAGAATTCCTACCTGTATTGTAATTCCTCTCTGTCGTTCTAGAAAAATCCATGGTGGCACCAACGTTATCTTTACCTTTTACCTGGGATTTCAAAACATAAAATAAAGACTCTAATTCTCAAACTGAACATTCCTGGTTCGTTCAAATATATTATTATGTAGATTACCTCATGCATTGTCTTTATCTTCCAGTATAAAACAACACTCTTTCAGTCAATGTTGTTTTCCCAGAGTCAATGTGAGCAGAAATTCCAATATTGCGAATCTGGTCAACATTTTCCTAACCGGATTTCAATTTTCCATAAGTATATAATGTTACACAAAATACAATTGCTGTTTTAATTATGTGCCATGTAATTGAAATGGTTTGAAAAAATAGGCACACACTCTAGTAGTTTGATAACAGCAAATTATTTGAAATAGAATATATGAAAGATGAAATAAAATGGCACAGATTTTGGACTGTTCTTACACAGTACCTTTGTAGAGTCAGATGAAAATGCTGATAAGCAAGGTCTGCAGACCTAAAAATTTTATATTTTATAATATGTTATTTGTGGATTTGTACATTTTGTATTGTGGAAAGATTTTGAATCCAAAGACGTTTCGTCAAATTCATTTTTTTTATATATGACAATACAACACTCGTTGTGTAAATATTCATAATAATTTCTCAACATATAAATGAAGTGATAGACACAAATTATTGGAGCACTTACCCAACCAATTGGCCTTAATACGTCTGGCCTAATTCTCCGGAAAAGATGGAGAGTAAACATGGCTCTACAAATTCACGTAATCTTTTGATAAATTAGTATTGAAAAATACCATCCCAAAAACACTTTTAAATGAATTTAAAAATATTTCAACGACCACGATTAGTCGATCACCAGAACAAGAGAATGTCATATGAAGAACATGAAGCATGCCGAAAACACGTGCCCCACCGCTGACTGCGCTACTGCGGCCAGCTTTACACGCAAAAACGCACAAACAAGTTTCTCAAACAAGCCATACCTGATTTTAATAGTGTGCAGTGATAGGCTTTATCATATAGATACTCCTCCCATGTGCAGAGAATGGGTAAATGCACGTCTCCAAGATAGTGATTGGGTGATAAGAGCTTTAGCCCGACGTTAGCTCTATTTTTGTTGGCAACTATTCCGGAAAAGTACCGCGAGGAATTTGTCGCGGCAAATGCTTACAGACAAAACAACACATCCAACACTTTCATGTCAAAGACAAAGAAAATAAGGAGAAAACATTTGCTCGACCTAACTTTTAATAATTTAAAAATTAATTTAATGTAATAATCAGGGACGCCGGAACGAAGCGAGGGAGCATTTCCATGAAAGGGTAACGGCGCATGTATGGAAAATGTTTGCAAAACGTCTGTTGAAAATAGTTTTATCACGATTTATCACTCCAAGAAGATTTCGGTGTCCTGACGTTTTTCAGTAATCCTTGAAATGAAAGGGTGCATGTACTTCCCCATTTGCCCCTGCTGGTAAAAGGAAAGGGGGCAGCTGCCCTCCCCTGTTCCGGCGTACCTGGTAATAATATATTACACACTTAACATTTTGTACAATATACTTAGCTAATAACGGTTAAAATGTCGTTAAAAAGTTTTATACAAAATCCCCAGGCCTTTCAATCCAGAAGACATTCTGGGTTGCCAATAATTATTCTGGTTTTGTGAATAATTATAAAGCCTATAAAAATTAGTATAGTATTATTATTTATTACAAACAGAAATTTTAGACCACAACTCTTTATCTTCACGGTGGTTTGCTAGAAATTTCCCAGCCACCCAGCGAACAAATGAAGACATCGTTTCATCTCCGGCTGTCACGAGATACTGCGCTTGCGTAAGAAGCGTAAGATCAACCAGCGCAATGGAATCACGTTCTGTTACAAAACTGGAGGTTGCGTTGTAGTTATAAACCGTCCCGCCAACTCTCGATATTAAAGATTTATAAATATCTGGAAAAGGATTTTTTTCTTTTGCTTTATTCGCGTAGTTAGAAAGCACTGCAGAACCGTACTTTGACATATCAGATGCAACGAACACATGGGATATCCCTGACATTGCTTTAAGTGCATTTGCAACATCAACAATAACATCGATGCATTTTTTAAGAAAAAAATTAACCATGGGGTTTAAGTATAAATTCAGAGCGTACATACACTGTTATAAAACGATCAGGTAGAAATCTTTTTCGAAAACGCGCTACTTCTTGTTGGACTGGCTCGCTTGGTTTTAAGGCAAAATGAATTTCGTAGTGAGGAAATCTCAAATCATTTTCCGTGAAATAGCTTCGATACACACCACCACCTATTCCTCTCCATAGTAAAATATTCAAACATTTTGCTCCACCGACAATATCCCTTTCAAATACTTTCCAATCTTTTAATAATCGCTGGATTAATGCAGAATTGTTTCTTGCTAGGAGCTAAACCCATAGATTTGTCTAAAAACATACATTCTACCCACCCTTTTGATTTTGTCTTCTCGAAGATAGAGTCGTAATATTCGTCCGTCATTTTAAAATTTCTAAAATAACGTTTGTTCCACTGCTTCGTCGTATCCCCGAGATAAAGAAAATGTACAGTCACATGGGATCCGTTGGTTTGCATTCAGAAACGTATTCCTTTTTACTAACCATGGGTGCATATCCAGCATGGTCTAATAATTCATCCAAGTATTTCAAGTCAAAAAGAGTGCCCAATGATTTACCATTTTCAGTGCTGACAAATCTGGATTTAAAAATAAATGGTCTCACAACCCTCCTTCCACCAAATTGGGCTTGTCCACAAAGACTTAGAACACTTAACATACTCATTGACATTTGTTCTGTGTACGATGAATGAACAAAAACGTATTTTTTATACGTTTCTGACCTGTTTGTTCGTTGATTTCCTGAGTAGCTGCTAATTTTTGCAGGGATATGCAATTCTGCATAATCAAATGTCAGCTTTGATTGAACACCATCACCGAAATTTATTTGCAGATTGCGTCCAAAACTTTCGCTTATCTTTGGGATAAGGTATCCTATATCAGCTGTTTGATTATGGAGACCATTTTTATATAGAATATTCTGTTGCGTTCCTTTATCAATTGCATGTATGTTATTTACATGTATGAAATTCTTGTCATACACTCCGACGAATACACGGCTCAGCTTCGGCAGGAAAAATCCGACTGTAATTATCAATGCGGTTTGAACAATGATCACCAGTGATAACGCACATGAGAAAACTCTTCGTCTTAACCTAAATTAGTAACCAAGACAAAACTGGTCTTCAAAAAGGCTCTCTCCTTAATCTTTAATTAGTTTAGTTTCCTCCACTGATTGTGGAAAAAATGAACAATTTTTCGAACCTTTATTTATTATGTTACAACCGAGCGACTGGATGAGTTATTTTAAGAAATACATAAGCATAAGGACTAAATGAAAACTTACATTTTGTCATTCAAACGATTTCTGAAGATTCTTGCGCTGCTACACTAAACAAACTATGCAATAAAAATTAGTACCTTTAACTTTGTAGCAAATAGTAACGTATAGTCAGCCTGAAGATGTAGTCCCGCTATGCTGATGGTTTTCGTTTTATATCGCCTACTAGGCTGGAGAGAGAAAAACGATGCTCTGCTATGGGCATGCATGGCCAAGCTCCGGGACTGGGGGTAAAATTAAACAAGTTCCGAGTACTAAGACATCTTGAGAATGCAATATATGAGTTCTACAAGACGCAATTGGAACTGTCTGAAGATGACTCTATTTGAATCATTTATATTATTCCTATATTAAGCAAAATATTGTTATAGTCGGCCCTTTGATTTCTTTGTTTCAAACAAAGAAAACAACGAATATGGTAATATACTTGGCTAATTTATTCAGTAATCTAGCAACACTGGTTTACTCAGAATTTGTTCGTCTCTTTACTTTTTAAACTTGGTTGTCGGCTGGTTAAGGTTTTTGAGAGGTGACCTGGCTAGAATTTGTCATTATAGGTGGGTTTCACTCAAGACTAATACATAGCGAAACACTTGGCTATGTGTTCTTCACACATATTGGAAGTGTGCAAATTTTGTTAAATTGCACATAACATCTACTCAATATTAGGTCAAAGCCTACACTGATGAATATCTTACTCTATTTGATAAATATTTTCCCATCTGGAGTCGACCACCAAGTGCTAAATCTGTCACGTGACTGAAACCCAGCTATTGGCTCAACGATTATTGGCCTCAAAGACTCACAGATATTTTGTCATTGAAATTATTCTCTAGACTCAAGTACAAATCGCCGTTTTATAATTATCTTGACTATCTAGATCTATTCATGCGTGCCACCAAATTGAACTCGTCGCTTCGAACCGAATCGTCCTTTAAATCAGTAATACTAATATCGTTGTATCTTCGAAATGTAGGCTCATGCGACATTTTGATACATTTCCTTGGCCACTTACAATAATTTGTATAATCTGTAATATATCAATTTTACCATTTACAGACAAACATCGCTGAGTTGTCGGATGAAGGTTGTCTTTTAAATCGTCTGGTCGTCTTTAATTCTTACATTCGTCAAATCTTAATTCTTGTTTCAATGTCCTTTAACTGCACTAGCTACGTTTCAAGTGAGTCGCAATAATATATCGCAAGTCGCCAAAACCTATTTACTATTATAACCATAAATATACATTTTACATAATTATCAAAAAGATTTTAGTAGCGTTTATTTTTTATGTTTTCATCGTTATGCATTGGATTCTGTGATCGTGCACGCGGCTTCAACAAACTATAATTCGTGGCAGAGACCCAGAGACAGAGTTCGTTTAAGCACTCGCAGCCGGTTCACGATTGAGGCAAATGTGATTTGAAATACTTTACCCAGCAACCCTAGACCTTTTCTTACTTGTGTCACTTATTCATACCATGCAGATAATATTCAGTATAGTGATAATAAGTCATGATTAAATAAACTTACGGATTATTTGCCAACCACAAGTAATGTCGTGTTTAATTGAAACTGCTCCTATAATAAATACCGCCTCGCGCCTCATTCGTTATGCATTATAACTTTTGAGTTTTGTATACTGTGTTGTATAATATACATTATTACAGTGTTTCTAACATTTTTTCTTATCAATAATTGTAAATAGCTAAGTTAACGACACCGTTATTAAATATGTTATATAAAAAATCAATCACTTTACTGAGTCGAGAGATATTATAATATACAATCTTAGACCTCATTTAACGTAGTGGATGTAGTCGAATTTTTCGAGCAAATTTATGCAAAGCGTGTTCACACCTTGTCGTCTTATCAACGGATATTTATCACCATTAATGCCTGACTCCTCCGCAGTCCCTTAGTTGGACATTTATAGATCAGTGGTTGGACATTTATTGATCAGTAGTGATATTTATAGATCAGTGACCTTCGCCTTCCCATTACCCTCCGCGCGTTCCTCCGCGCGTTGACGCGCCATTATATAATTTCATTATAATTATTTGTTTGCGTAACACCAAAGCGACTGGGGACGAGTCAGCATTAATGCCTTGACTGTCACCCGAATAACCCGATTCCGTCCATTTTGTCGTAGTGACCTCACTCGAAATTATCATCCCAAAAAACTGACATCGATGGACAAGCTAGAAATGCCTTTAAAAATCTGCCGACCTCTCCTGCACGAAATCAAAAGACGCCACGAAACAGTACTTTGATGAAATAATAAATGCCATTTTTATTGAAAAATTGTTAAATTCGCGTTCAAATATTGGTGTTTAATTAAATTGATTGTTTTTAACGGTCACTAAACATGAATATAAATATGTCGCCCCCACTTATCGATGCTGGCCACACAATTAAGTTGTGCCTTAAACCAAGACCCAGTCACATCGAAGAACAAGTGGAAACTGGAGAAAATTTTCAATTGAAATGAGTGAGATATACATACATACAAGTCCGAAATATACACGACAGTGCAACGTTCGAGGTAGTATCACATTTTTTCTGCGCCATTTAACGTCGTGTCAAGTAATAAAGGGCCGTTCACACGTTCCAATTTTGTCGGAACAATTCACTTCTGACGTATGGAATATAGTTTGTTATTGATCCGACAAAATTGGATCGTGTACACAGACCAGGATGTTTAAAAAACGCAACCATCTTATGCATGCACTCTAAATGCTCATTTTTTACGGATATTCACAAATTTCGTGCATCAGTATCTTTTACAAAATCCTACAGTTTCCATTTGATCGCTGTATAGCGCAAGACATGTAAATGAACATTTTGAGCGTGGGATTTGCTTTTATAGGTGGAAGTTCAACTGAAATTGGCCTATCGTACGATGCATGGCAGGGTACTTTTTCACGTTTGCCGGTAGAGCCTTCACTCTGCGACTATAGGTATTTATAGTGTTTAGGGTTAGTCCAAGTAATTATTTTTTGATAATGAAAAATGGGTTTTCACATTGTTAGAATTGTTTCATAACTGTTGAGGAAATATCATCTCGAGAAAGGCCAGTTCAAGTCTATTAATATATAGTTCATCTTGTCATATATGAAGTATGAAAAGTTTTTATACTGATTTCAGAAGAGGCATAACATTCTTTTCCATCTTAAAAATTTCGCCATGGTGGAAGAAACAAAAACTAAAACTCAGTATACAGGGTGAGTAAAAAAACCCTGACACCTTTGAAAGTCAAATTAGCCGCGAACAACAAACAGGACGTGGTTAATTAATGCAAAAGTGTTTAAACCAATTGAACTTGTTTTGAACTAATCAGGTTTTTTTTTACTCACCCTGTATAAATGATGATAAAGTAGGATATACAAATCATAGGGTGCCGTGTCCCCATTGGGACATTTTAATTGTACACAATCAGGTATAGCCTATATAATATGCATTATGCAATATGCAAGTTAAAAGTTGGACCGGAAAAATCTTTCGAAAATTACAAGCTTCAAGGAGAAGATTGCGTTTTTTATACATCTCTTTCAGGTTTCACTAAACTAAAAAAAGTACCTAAATATTTCCTACAAATATAATTAATTAAATACTAAAACTTAATGAACAAAACTTCTCTTATCACGATGTTTGCCACGGGAAATCGTTCTTGCTTTTGATGCTGCATTGTTATACAATTTCTAAACAATTAAAGAGAGAAATAGTATAAAAAAAATAGTGAACCGCTTTCTACTTTTTATCAGCTCGCGCGAACAAATTCGTTTAGTGTTTCGAAAACAGGCTTTATGAATGTAGTAGTTACGTCATCATGTAACTTGAAATAGAGACATACACACAAGATAGTGAGGGACAATAGCCGGGCTATAAATAGGGAGAGGATTGATAACACTGAGAGCGAGCACGTAACACTTATACTGGGAATTATCAATTTGTATTGTGGATTATCATTAAATAAGAGAATATTATAATGAGGACGATTAAATGGGGACCAAGAAATTAACTGTACAAACGCCAAATGCGATAAAGGTGACAACACAAACTTATTGTTTACTTTTTGGTTATAAACATGGAAGTAAATGATTTGACGAAACGTTTTTTTGAAGAACCTGCCATACTGGGGCGGTAGGGCCGGTTGTATCAAGCCTGTTTAGCTTAAGCGGTGGTTAAGTTCAAAATAGAAAGCAAGTCTATCGTTTTATTCAAGAAGCAAACTAAATGTTCTTAACATACTGTTTACAACTTCATATTCAGTGCATAATATATTCAAGTTGACTCATTCAAGAGAGATGTAGCTAAGAGTATTATTTAATTTTGACTTATCCGCCGTTTAAGCTAAACGGGCTTGATACAACCGGCCCCTGGTTATATTAGAAAGTATTCTCCAAAGTAATTTCGCGAAGTTAATAATTTTTTTTAATTTTACCCTCCGATTCTTCGACGCCTTTCCATTGGTATCCAATTTAACAGGTTGACCTAATTCGAAGATATCCCGTAATAATGGATTCTCCTACAACGCAGAATATGTATTTGTGAAACCTTCAAGGAATGAGATTAACCTTTAATGAACGAGTGAAACCTTCAATGAATAAGTAACTTTATTTTAATGAAATGCATGAGTTGAGGGAATAATTAAGCATTTTAAGAGGGAATAATATAGCATTGGAATTCAAGAGAAAAGAAAAAAACAAGGAATTTTCAATGAAAGCTTAGAATGTGGAAAGCAACTGCGTGATTAAGTGGTTGTAACTTGTTATCTAAACGATTGTCAATTTTAGCCATAGGGTATAAAAGTCTTAAAAAAAAGGCGAGACGAGACTTGTTGTCTTCGGCAAACGGATTTGCTTATTCTGGTACATCAAAGCGTATATTACACAGTGCAGAATATCAGGGCGCATGCATGTATAACACAAGTATTACCTTCAAATGCAAATTTATTCCAGGCCCAAGAAGTTCTTTAAATGACGCATACTGTCTTCTTTGTGTCCATGTACAAAGGTACATTGTTTCCTGACCAAATTTTACTGTTTCCTCTGGAACTGTTCCGTCCTATTTTAAGAAAACAATGCCGACAATAAACGAAAAAAGGATAATTCGAGACGTTTATAGTACGCGCGTGCAGATTGGTCGAAAGGCATGTTTCTATTACTGTATAGAAACACGGAAATGTTTTCTATTTTTTAAATATGAGACAATATAGCTGAAACCAACACGTGCTTTCTGTAACTGTAATCGCTCCCGTAGTTGTGAAAATGCTTCTGCATCTACATTCGTCGAGGGACGAGAGAGAATTTGAGTGTGAAACGTATTTTTAACCGGGAAGCATGTAGCGCTCTTGGTCGTATTAAAAGCCTGCATGGTCTTGCTATTTCAAACCTCTCGTAAGAGACGCGGACGAACGTGCATGATTCCATGAATGCGCAATTCTGAAAAAATGAAGTCAATGAACGCCGGAGTTTAAATTTTATTTATTAAAATATAATAATACAAATGTTACAGCTGAAGAGACCGCGTATATTAGTTTTGATGCGTTTAGCATGAGCATACTTGTTTACTAGAGGCTATAATAAAAACTAAATTTATTTCCTTTGTTTCTCTAATAATTTTTGTTCAAGCATTCTTAGAAATTCCTTCTTCTCAGCATTTTCAATTTCGAGCACCTTGATTCGTTTTTCTAGGAAAGAAAAACGGTTTTTCCTTGCGGCACGTGATTTCTTTGCTGCAGCGTTATTTTTCATTCTCCTGATCCAGTACCTCTCGTCTTTTTTACCTTCATTCTTTCGTTTCAAGCCTGATCTTTTCACACTTTGCAAGTTGTAACTATCACCTTCTGCACAGTTCTGCTCATTCTTTAGTTCATAAAAACTGCACTGGGAACCATATATTTCGTGGCTATCTTCACAGCATGATTTAGTTCTTTTGTTCCCCCAACATATGGTTTTGATATTTTCATCTTCCAACATTTCGAGTATTTGATAAACATCTTCATCACCCAAGGAAGGTGCAAAGAATTCCGTGTCATTCGCTTGTAAATTTTCCTGGAAATGACTGACCATGGGATTAAAAAAGGTTTTGCAGGGTTCATTTATTCTTCCATAAATATCTTGAGTATCATCAAAACAATCTAATCCCACGCTGTATTCACCATTAAAATATCCCGCAGTCGTTTGCACGTCCACGTTGGTAATCGGTGACATCTCATTTTCTAACGTCGAAAATTCGTTTATCTCGTAAAGTCTCGAGTCAAAAAAGTCAAACTCGGGCTCGGCAAAACACTCAGCATTAGAGCAATCAGAGGAATACATAAATGAACCATCCTTGCACATGAATAAATTATTGTCATTCCATGCTCGTGTATGGCCTAGGAAGGTCGGTAGCTCAAAATTGAATTCATCTCGATCAGTTTTGCAAAATTCCGGTTGAACAAGACACGAGTTATCAAATATAAATTCCTCCATATTCCGGCGTGTGTCAAAATGAAACATGTGAAGTTTGATAAGTAAATTGTTTTATCGCAAGAAGGCCTATTGAACACTTGTATAGAGTAATAGTAACGAATAGTCACAAGATAACAATAATACAAGTATCGAGTGAAAGATGATTTATTGCCCTCCGTGAACTCGCAACTCATGAGGATTGTACACATGCTGTTTAATATATACGCTCTCACTTCAACGTGTAGGGTGTCCGCACATGAAAAACCTCACAGACAAGATCATGCGCCAAACTCACGTGTACTTGTTTGTAAACAATGTTTGTTTATCCATTTCAGAAATACAATTTAGTTTCTCCTGTTTGGATCGTGGCTAATTGCATTTTATCGTGCATATATGCACAAAATGGAAATTTATCAGGAGGTAAATACCTTCGTAGGTTGGAACTACGGGGATGTAGTTGCAGTTTATAACTCAGATTAAGAAAACCGTTTCAGGTGCTGACTGCTTATATTGACGCTAAGCTTTCTTTGTTTTTTAACTGCTACGGAAGCGAGGGAATGTAACTGTAGATGAGATTTTAAAAAAACACTGTAGTGCATTCAGCGGTGTTTTAGCGCCGAGAAACTTTGCGTTATATTACTTTCTTTCATTCTAAACTCGGACGGTTTAATATTGAAGTCATATTTTAACAAATACTTCTGTCTATTATATACTTTTATTGCATAGTACTTGGGCTAGAATGCTTGATAGCGCTTAGTTCGCTTTATGCAAACTGCTCGATAGCGGTTATATTTTTGTTTTTAGTTATTTCCCACATTATGTATATCTGCTTTTCCGAGGGTCATGCAGAAGGTCTCTAAAATAAATTATTTTGAAATAACTTAACCGAATTGATTGAACTGACCGCACAATTTCCTTATTAAAACGGTGTGGTTTTGATGACGTCACAAGGGGATTAACCACAAAAACATATAAAAGTTTAAAAACATTTTCTAAATGCTCTACGTGTTTTAAGACAACCTGCTATTCATGACTCGTATATTGGTTTACAAGATTACTCTGTTATTGCCAGCTATTATAACACTAATAAGATTATAACGTACCAATAAGATTAAATAAAATAGAATTAAATTTAATTCTGTGCCAATAAGATTAAATTTCGTGCCAGTAAGATTATATTCAGCTCCCCGCGCCTTTTTAACTTTATAACATTAAAAAGATATTGCTATATAAAGAGATGAAAAAACTTCTCTATCTTGTTATGTAAAAGCAAAATCGTTGGACTCTTAAAGTGGCGATTTCATTTCTTTTTAGGAATTTTATTTTGCCGAGTCTCTTATTCACGCACTATATGTGCGAGATTGGTATTGTTCCATTTCAAGTTGAGATACCACTATTTTTTAAGACCAATTACGTTTGAAGTTCAGGAGCCGGTTGTATCCAGGGTGCTAGATTACTGAAAAAGAAGCCAAACAAGAAGCATTGTTGTGGTCGGCCCTTTGAATTTCTTTGTTTGAAATAAAAAAAATAACGATTATGGTAATAATGTTCGGCTAATTTATTCAGTAATCTGGCAACCCTGGTTGTATCAAGCCCGCGTTTAGCTTAAACGGTGGATAAATCAAAATTAAATAACACTCTTACATGCATCTCTCTTGAATGAGTCAACTTGAATATTATGCACTGAATATGTAGTTGTTAACAGTATCTTTGTATTAAGGTAAAAAACATTTCGTTCACTCGTCGAATAAAACGGAAGACTTACTTTCTCTTTTGAACTTATCCACTGTTTAAGATAAACGGGCGGGCTTGATACATGTCATGCATACAACCGGCCCCAGAAAGCAAAATAATATTTACAATATAAATATAGATATATTGTTTGATAACACACGTGAGTTTACTGCATGATCGTGTTGGTAAAGTTGTTCACGTGTGGACGTCATGTCGGGATATTTGATTTAAATAAACATACATGGCCATCTTGGATTGCTAATATGGGGTACGCATTTTACGTAGCAAGTTCAAGTTTACGCGATCGCGATCTTTGAAATAGTGGAATATCTGCATGAGAACGAATACTTAGATTTCTATTGTTAATTAACCAAAAAACCAAAGAGTAGATACTCTTTAAAAAAACCTAATGAGATTAAATATTCAAAAGATGGCGGCCAGCTCACTCATTTCGCTCAAGATATTTAAATTTTCGAAATCTATAGGAAGGATTTGAAAAATTTATAAATAAGCCTTAATATAAGCCTGGTATATATTCAATTTTCTTTTATATGAACAAAAATTTCATTGCCAATATCCTAATATCCTTTAAGTGAAATGACTACCGTTTTTTAATGAGTTTAAAAGTTCTTTATACACATGCCTCTATATTAATCCGGTTCCCATGCACCACGAGAAATTTGTAACTGTAGTAAACACAAAATAATTTCCACTGTAGTAAACACAGATGATATTTTAAATATGTACATTTGTGCTTCGATTAAATTTAGTTTCTTCAATTTAGAAGAACTCTTAAAACTATTTATGAATTTTTTTTGCGAACTTTCCCTATATCTTTCTGCATGCGTTTTTCGCGATATTTCAGCCGATATAAGAGAGCAGGGCCGCTATTGTTGGATTGAGCGATATAGCTACGTCACAACCGGCGTCGCAGGTGTTTTTTTATGACTGTGTCTGCAGAAAAAAAGATAACAGTTTTGCGTTGATATTTTGACTTTATTTCAAATCATTCTCAAAGCAGTATATACAGCGACACAGGAAGATACGTTGACTATACAAGGGAGGTATTAATGTATTATTTGTAAACAGCATTTCCTTCCTCGTACGTCATCACCCCCTGTGTCTGATAGCAAGCTTGTAAATATTCACCCTGGTTTGAGAATGGCCTGAAGGGAGACGAGTAGCCTCAGCCTGTTTATATGGAGCTGCCAGGCTAGGCGAGGTGAAAACTGCATATAATGAAAGACTATAATCACGTTAAGCCTTGATCTGATGAGCTTTTTACCTCGCCTAGCCGCGATAACTCGCTCCATATAAACAGGCCTTAACTGAACGAGAGTACTGTTCACAATCGTTCAAATAGTTAACCTGCACCCTAGAATGAGAACGAGTTCTCAATAGCGCAATCGGACGCATAATACATACCTTTATATAAATTGTATATATTACAATTTAAAGGGAGAAAAATGTATGTAAAAGCTCTGAACGTACACTTAGTTCTAAGAGACTATATATGGTGTACCAGCACAATTATGTTCATTTTAAACTGACCGTTTTTTAAAACCCAAAGGTCATCACGAGTTTGCCCACGAGAAAAGATTAGCCCATTCATTGTACATGCATGGTAGAGACAACTGAACACAATTTTATGCGGGAAAGTAAATAGTCTTTACAAATTACAGACACGAATATTAGGAATCACAGCTTCTAACTTCAGTGCTGTCTGTTGAGAGTTGAGACACAAAATGTCAATAGAGCGTGAGAGGATAATCATACATTTTTGTATGAATCCACCATTGCAAAATGAATCACAAAGTGTTCAGAAAATGCAGATTCTACGCCCAAATTTGCTGCATTATTCATTTTATGTGTATGTAGAAGTATGATAGACTCTTACCTCAGCCTACCGAAAATCAAATATTGTTAGCTATATTGTTAGCTATTACTGATTTTTAGGAAAGCAGATGTAGAAAGTATAACCAATTTCTAATAGTCTTCAATAATATTAAAATTGTTGAAGAAATTTTAGCGTTTTGAGGCAAAATATAAAACAAAACCAGAATTTACACGCATGCAACACTGAAACGTGCAAACACGTCATACTTTAACTCCCCTCGTGTTTGGGCGAATTTCGCTTTTAGAACCATTTGAGTCGTGCATTCTTCTGCTCAAATTAAAAACCTATCGGAAAATGCCGATAGTATTTCGAGTCCTTGACTGAACATGTCGTGAATTAATCTTACGTCAAATTGTTAGCTACAGTAAAAATAGTAAGTAAAAAGACTTCTTTTTCAGCGAAAACGTTTTGTGTAGGATGTCAGCGAAGCATCCGCGACTTTACTTACAAACGTTTTATTCAACATGCAAAAACTAGCATGGATATAGCAGACCTCGGTCCTTTGTGCAAGCTTCGCCCAACGAGATGGCATGTGAAGACAAAATTATACCCTAAAAAGAAATTATATCCTACCTCGATGGCTCTTAATATATCTCTAAAACTTGATCTTTGTTGCCGTCGATCTTTCTTTGCTCGGTGTTTTGTGCCATCCGTAGCAAGATCTTTAAGAATGTCCAAAACACCAAACTGCCGCGGTTCAAAGTCCTCAATTTTCTCTCGTCCCAGCTCACAGACAAGGGCGAACACCTCGCCGGCTGCTATCCTTAAATTGACGTCGTCGTGTTGCATTAACTTAATAATTTTGCGACACTGTCTAAAGAAAAAGAACACGAGTTCAGGCCTCACCGTTAGTTCATATCATCCCGCTTAGCCGCGCTACTTTTGACGCATACAACCGAATTTAACACCAAGACTCGTTAATGTTAGTTTTGAGCTTATAGTTGCAGATATTTGCAATTTTGCATCAGTCCTGATCTGTGTTCATTTCTGCACTGCATAATAATCGAAACAAGTCAGGCTGAGCACAACTCGAAATCTCGCATGAATGATTAAAGTGCGTAACGAAACGCAAATATGCATGTGTATTAATAATATAACATTTATAGTACACGTGTGTTGATTGGTCGAGAAGCGTGTTTCTATTTAACAATTAGACAACGAGTCCGAGTTGTTTTTGAGCGAATAGTCAACGAAGGCGAAGCCTGAGTTGACTATTCGCTCATGGACAACGAGAAGGCGAGTTGTCTAATTGTTTTAGTATACACCCAGCACCTAGATATATTAATTTCGAGAAAAAAATCGATACACCGCAATTACAGCGAAAAATAATTTAATAAATTCAATTTTATACAGTCGCGCGAGCGAATTTTTCCCATACGTTCACCATCACGAATAGACGATGGTTGAGTAGCCAATCAGAATGTAGGATTTGTAATAGACAATAGTCAGGTGTATACTAAAACTGTATAGAAACACGGGAAAAATGTTTTCTATTTCTTAAATATTATTAGGTAACATTTAACTCCTTGTAACTTACTTCTCTACACATTCTTCGACTAAACTATCCGGAGCAATAGACAATAAAAGTGCCCAGGAAAAGAGACATTCGCAAAACAAGTCGGACATAGCAGCAGTATGAGAGGATGAAAACACGTTCTGAAGAGCTCTGACACATTGGACAAGATCCTAAAACGGATGGAATTAACATCACTGCAATCGCTTTTTTCCAGTCAAGAAGACCACACTTCTAGTTGGCAGGCTAGGCGAGTGGCCTGGGAAATAGGGGTTGGTTTGAAAGAAACGAGAGAAAACAAGATAGATCTAAAAAAAATCTCACGAATCTATCTGTAATTTATCTTTTTATCTGTAATTTGCATAAATATTATCTGCGGATGACGGAAAATCGTTTGGAATATCACGACAAAGGAATCCCCCGCACTTTATGAAAACTATGAAAACAATGAAAACAAACCTCATGTTCATCTGAAGCAAGAAAGCAACACAAGGCCAACGCACTGGCACACTATAAAATAAATAATTGACTATAAAATTTTACTATCCTAGACAGACTGCTCACCGCAGCAATTCCATGTTAGTAAAAAGGTGCATTTGATATTTTACTTACACTAGCTCTAGCTGGGACTCTTGCTGTGGGATCTTGTAATGTGGCCAATAAAAGAGGCTTTAGTATTTTAAAAATATGTTCACTATCCGGGCCAACTCCCAACTGAACACATAACAGAACTGACAATGGACCAGCACACACTTGATCCTCTGTCTGACCTAATTTTCATAATGTCCATATGTAAGTTGGAATAAAAAAATTCTTGGGACAACACAGATTCAAGGGTTAATTTAAACTTGGTAATGGCAGTGGTTAGTTCTTCACTTTATGTGTCAGCTTTGTTGGTTGCAAATTTTGTATGTATGTATCAGTCCTTGTCGGAATAATAGTATATCATAGTGATACATACAGCACTAAAATAAAGCAGGACAAACCTCTTTTCAAAGATCTTTCTATAATGTCAAGAATTGTATCCTTCCTACGGAGACAGAGACCCCGGAAGTAAAAATTAGTAAATACATTTTACAATTATTATTATGTATATTTAGAATATATATATTGACATCATTTAAATAAATCAATTTAGAAATCATCCTTGATCACATTTTGTAAATAGCCATTTTATTTCTTACTGGTTACTGAATTATCACCGCAAAATTGTTGACTTGTGTTATATAACTCATATCTAGATTGACAAGAGCTCACCTGATTTTGGATAAATAAATAAATTCAATTAAATAAATGAATAAAGTTTGTGTGTGTTTCCACAAAACAAACTTCCAAAATTATATATCCCCATGCGAAATTTCAAAGAACATATTAGTTTACAAGATGTTGTTATTTTGGAGCATATCTTTTTATACGTTGAAAATAATCTTATACAAATTAAGTTGGTGTCAACAAAAAAGTTACTTGCAAAAACATTTACAGATGTCTGGTATGTATGGTAATCCTCAATGTTTCATAAGGCCTCTATCCAATTCCTTAATCGAGTTGTGCATGCATATGGGATCACTGTACCTTTCAAAAACAAGATCAGCAATTAGGTGTTTGGCAAAGGTTCCACTGATAGCTTTCATTGATGTTTGGCGTAATTTTGCACTAAATAACACAATTATGAACAACAACAATAAGACATTTTATGTGTATATACAATTTCTAAACAATATAGAAACAAATAAGAAGCTCTTTTATAAGTAGTCAATTCAACTTGCATATAAGACAAATGATTTCCAATTTTTGAACTGATCAGGCAAACTTAATGTTTGAATTGAATTGAGTTCTCATGGTTTTTCACTTTTTCTGTTGGACAAGGTCATGAAGGTAAAAGACAAATTATATCAGCTAATAATACTGGCTTTTCCCTAAAATAACTGAAAAGAACAAGATGTTAATCACTTTTTTTCTGTAGCTCCTTCAATGTTGTCTTCTAACACTTGTTCAAAGTTTGTTTCTATCTCTTCTCCCTCCGTTCCTAATTCTATTAATGTAGGAAATAGTTATTTAGATTTTTCTTTGTCAACTCAGAAAACAAATTACATCCATAACAAACATAAATACCATCAGTGCTTTCTATGTCATCTGTTGGGTTGCTTTGTGTTTCAAATGAACCCTGACTTGAAGCAACACTTTGATTTTCAAGACTTTCATTTATTCCTTCTTCAACTCGTTTTGCTGCAGTAGAGAAGGGAAAAATCACTCAGAAACTTATCTAATGGATCAGTGTTTAGAAAATGTTCAGCCTATATAGTCATTAGATAAAAAAGTTCTAATGATGCTTTGTGTGAAACTTGAAACATAAATTCATTTTTAATAACTGGACAATAAGTTTATTGCACTTATAAATACATGAATTTATACTTTTTTCCACAAGCAATGTTCTCTGTAGCCTTGAGTTGCTCAGGAATTGTGAAGGCATGGGTTGATTCACAAAGGAGGGCCTGAGTTTCACTTTTCACAACAATTATCATGGATGTTTTTCAGGATGAAAGTAAAAGACCAGAAATGAGCCCTGGTATTATTTTTTTTCCAAGAATGATGATACATATTACAGATAAGATTACCTGATGCTTAGTGAGAAGTGAAATTACCATATTATAATTTTTCCACTCAGCAGCATTTTTATTTATATCAATAACAAGGCTAGAATGGGCTAGACTCACAGATACTTATAGATCTGACTTGCTATCTTGAACTGGGCTGTAAGTGGAGGCGAGATGAATAGGCAGAGCTAATATCATCAGATACCTTAACATGTTAGGCAACCACAAGTCTGGATTGCATTGATACTTAACCAATATTTTTATGGGGATAATTTTCTGTCTATTTTGTCTAGTACATATACTGATTTTCCTTCTCAGTTGAATAGGGTGCTTGGAGGTGATTAGTAACAGAACAAATATTTTGCTATTTTGCAACTTGCAAATGAATATTTAGTATATGGAAAACCAATTAAAGGTTTTAGTCAATACAATTCCTTTGTAAAAATTGCACTGTTTGACACGACCATAAACAGCACTAATTTCAACTTTCATCATTTATACTCATGACTCATCATTACAATTTTGCCATTGTTTGTTCAGCTATGCATTCATTTTGGATTCATTATTCAAGACATAGAAATTTCAAATAACAAAAATATTTCAAAAATATGGCAATTTTATGGCAAAAAACACGTGAATGATTTCTTTGTATACGTGTGTGTATGAATGAGTTCATTTTCTGAAGTCACGAAATCGTGCAAACACACATGTGTGTTCAAAACATTGACTGAAATCGTCGTTAAGTCGTATAAACATCACCAAAAAAACAAAAGAAACATAACTCATAAACACATCTAACTATTTAGAGTTTCAACTAAGAAATTGAAATTGTACCTTTCTTCTGTGCACTCTTTCGCCCACCTTTCGGCATGACGAAAGATATCAGTGAATGAACACTATATTATTGTGTCGCTTTATCAATGAACGTTACCAATCGGAGCGATCTGATGGAACACAATTTTCCTTTTCTTTTGCAAATATCAGCGACTTGGCGCTATTTTTTTGCTCTTTTTGCTAGGTAACCAACAACTGATAATTCTTATATATCCTTCGTTTCCTTTTCCAAAAGAACGGACGATGACATAAATAAGAAAATTGGAAATTTCTGAGATGCATTGAGCAAACGTTTGTTGCTGAGAACCCAACAAGTGGGAATATGAAATGCCGACCGAGTTCACGTGTGATGAGCATGTACAATTGTACTCCACCATGGGAGGGTTAGAAAGAATGTCTATTTTCATTGATAGTTTACATTTTACGCTAGTCTTTTAAGGGTTTTTACAGTATAGATCAATAAAAAAGAAATATTTTTCTAATATGGGAGCAAAAAGCCCCTGTAAAGCTAGTCAGGGTCTAGGAATCGAAAGAACCAGTAAAATATACCCTCTTTACTACGGACAGTAGGTGCGTGACAATGCAATGCCCGCATTTTGCTAAAATCGGGCTGTTCTTCAAAACATTGGTTCGTGATTTTTTTTGTGTACCTTGTAGATAAGCAGTTTACTGTTTGAAATTGGACTTTATCCACCCGTCTCCTTAATTTTTAACGTTTTTATTCGACGTTATAGGATGACCTGATAAAATGACAAACGGTAAGATATGTTGGATTTGTCCTATGTATGGTATCTCATTTCGTTTTGATAATGTACGTGGCAAATTATGTATCGTCCATTTGTAATAATTTTTATTATGTATTATAGTCACCTTATTTTAGTACTTACATTACCAAGAAATGGCTAATAGTCTTGACGTTGATAGATAAATAATAACTAATGAAAAAAACTGATAATAAGTACTTTTGGTTAGAGGTTATTACTCTCGTAATAGTTTCGTAAACCATGTTTGTGTTGTTTTTCGAACTTTTTCCTATTTTTTGCAAAATGTTGGTAATTCTTGTATGTTTGCATGGTGACATCAATTAGCAAATTAGCTTGCATACCACCACGTAAGTATTTTTTACTGCAAAGCTTTTGGTCCATTAACCCAGCTAATTTACTTATAAACCTTTAGTGGATCAGCTGATAGCTCTTGTGTACTACAGGCTATGAAACACTGCCTAATTGTTACAGCTGTAAAAAGTAATATCCCTAAATTGAATATGTAGTTGAGGTGTTTTTATTAAATGACTATTATGAGATGGCTTTTTACCCCTCAAGTTGGGCATGTATTATACAAATTAGCAGGCTAAGTCAACTGAAGATTAAATTGACACCATAGACAATATCACACAAAAAATAGCTGCATCATCATCATCATTGTAACTAAAATTTTGTACCATTTGCAGTATACTCATTGGATGGTATTGTTGTCTTCTCTCTTCTTGTAATATGTACATGTGCGTATATGAAAAGAGTTCCCAGGTTAAAAAGCTTTTTCCTGTCTGAGAAGAAAGGGTTTTTTGGAGTTTTCTATAAAGGCAAGTTTTCCCTTTACCTTAATTTTCATTTACTCACAGTCCTTGGCAATTTGATTTGGCACTACTAAACCCCCCATATTTGTGGAAAAAACTGTTAACATTGTATAATGTATAGAGACTTGTGCATGGACCTCTTTGGTAACATAATGTCACAACCATATGGTCACAACATTGCATCACAACATTTTAAATTTAGAACCACCAAAAATGAAATGGACTTCAGGTTTTACTCTCACAAGCCACATGCAAAGATGCAAAACATCCCTCTTCAACAAAGATGTTTTTTTTATTTTGACCAATAAATGTGGAAATAAGCCATAACACAAGAACAAGGCTCAGGAGCCAAGACAGCAAGCCTCATTCTCGCATTATGGCGTATTTCCATACTTATTTGTCATGTTTTGTTCTCAATTTAAAACAATAATGTTGTGATATAGACATATAGTTACCAGAAAGGTCTCTTAGATCAGTGGCAGATTACCTACTACTGGTACTAAAGGCCTGGGTTTGAGAGGCCAATCATTTCTAAAAAGAGCAAAATCAAAGTACAAGAAATACAAGTAGCAATACAGTATTATTAATGCTTTAACATATTTAGATACGTAATCATACGTTTCTTTTCTCTATTTCAGCTGCTGTAATTGGTGTTAGATTACATTGGATGGTTGCCTTGACATGTGCAATAATGGCAGTTTATATGATTCTAAAATGATGAAGAACCATTATCACACCTTATCACTGTGACCTTATGTACTGTAGTTGGGTTATCCTTGTATATGCAATGTACAAAAGTAGGCACTGGAACATTTTTGGTGTGGGGAACTCATCTTGGGCCATTAAAATTAACTAGAGTTAATATAAAAATCAAATTCGGGCAAATGGCCTGTTGAAATGTAGTTATTAAAGAGTTTTATATATGCATGCAACATTGCAACTGTCCCTGGATGATTTAATAGCTTGCTGGGGGTAGATGACTGGCATTGACTGCAGCTAGTGCAATGAAAATATGGTTAATAATAATATTCCAATGTAACTAATATAAGGAGCTAAGGGATGTTTTCCATTTCAATCGTTTGCGTAACGTAGCGTATTTCTTTGTTTATCTAACCGTTGTTTCTCTACGATTAAAGTGGAAGATGGCCTTGAAATGAACAAAAAAACTCGTTTGTTTGTGCCCGTTAGCCCGTCACGTAGTTCTACCACATGCATCTAATATCAATGAGCAGTTCAGTAAAAGTCGATTAATTGGTAACATGGATAACACGGAGTCGGAGTTCCGGAGCCGGAGTCCCGGAGTCTGACGTAATAATATTGGAAAACACGGAGTCAAAAATTATGAAAAACACGGAGTATAACGTTCACGTTGAGTCATTGACCACTGAGCTTGGCCGTCTTCCAAACATTTATACTCTGTGTTTTCCATATCTTTAACAGACTCCGTGTTTTCCATAATTTTTAACTCCGTGTTTTCCAATATTATTACGTCAGACTCCGTAATTGGACATATTCCATAATTTGTGACTCCGGGGCTCCAACTTCGAAACTCCGGCTCCGGAACTCCAACTCCGTGTTATCCATGTTACCTAAAAGCAAACATTGAATGAGTGAGGTATTAAAGGAGATGTAACGAAGTACGAACTTACTCTGTTCATTTACTTCATTACCTAAAAAATGGGACGGACGAATCTCGCATTAAACTATCAGAAAAGAATAACTTTGAATACTGAAGTATTGATAAATAATGATCGCACATCTGAAAATTGTCAGAAAGCTTTGTCAGATTTTAATAAAAATCCTCATTAGGTCGATAATAGTAATCTATATCTACACTACAATGGCCACGGGGCTCGAGGCAGGCAAGACTTGAAACAGGAAATCAGATTACCTTTCGACTAAATGAAAAGGCATCTTTCATCATTTATTACTTTTTGACAAACTGTGGCTAACTCAATTTTTTTTGCTAAATTCATATCCCTGCATTATTTTTTATTGAATTCATGTCTATTATCAAAGTTTTTCAATTCAAGACTATGTACTTAACATCCTTAGACAATCAACTAGCGACTGATTGAGTATTTCCAACAGGTTTTTTCACAGTCTATTTACAAAATCAAACGACATCCGTTTTGAGACGAGTTCGAGTCATGGCAAACGTTTTGGGGGAAATTTTTAACGGAGATCGTCAGATCGACTCAACGAAAATACCAACATTGACAAAGTTTTCCTACTTGAAAGAATTACTTCAAGAGTCTGTACGTTCTGACATCGACGGCCTGCCATTTATTGAAGAAGGTTATTCGAAAGCCAAAAATATCCTCGAAGCCGCCGAGTACGGGAAGTCAGCCAAAGTTGTGAATGCGTAATATATAGTTAATATCACCAAACTACCAGTGATTTCGTGGACAAATCCGGCTAAAATACACGATTTCTATAAGCAACTAAGATATAACGTTCAAAGTCTTGACACTCTTGGCAAACTGGATGATGTGAAAGGAAATGTATACGAGCAACTCTGGACAAGTTTAAGGAAGCAGACCTTCTTCGCGGAAACGAAGGCTGGCAAGAGTGGGACTTTCATGATCTTCTAAAAGAGCTAAAAAAGTGGAAGGATATCAACCCAATCGAGGAAAAATCAAAGCCAAGAGAACAACTAAAGGGCGTGAAAATTCCAAGATCGAAGTTCTTCCACTCAAAAGATTCTCCACGACACACGCGAGAACGAGGTGTGTTATTGCGAGGATACCACGCACAAAGCCACGATTGCCCAAAAGTTGTGGAAGGAACAAAGGAAAGAATATTAGCGGAAAAGGACTATGCTTCAATTGTACAGGGAGTCAACATCGTGCTGCCATTGTAAAAGCAAACTCGGATGCCAGAAATGTCAACAACATCATACCTCAATTTGTGAACAATCAGAAGAACAATTGCTAGTCGCAGGCAATGGCGCGAACACAAGAGTGATACACCCAGTCGTGATATTCGAAGTTAAAGGTGTTAAGTGTAGAGCCTTACTCGACACAGGCGTAGGCAGTTCCTGCCATCTGCTGCACTTTTGGATCGTATTTCAACACGAGGTCGAAGAAGAAACCCGGAAAATCGACATGATGCTCGGTGTGACAACGAGGGAAATCGAATTGTCGACCATTGAGATCAAGGGAGGATCGGGTAAATTTTCTATGTCAGTAGAAGTCACCAAGGTGAACAAGGGGGAACTTCTATTCATAAACAATCCGAGATATCAGCACATGATTGAGCAAAACCCACACTTGAAAGGAGTCATCATGGAGGACATTGACGAGAAAGAGTGTCTACCGGTTCACAATCATTCTGGGGAGCGAGCGAGTATGCGAAGTTGAAAACCGATGTGCCCCCCAAGGTTGGCCAACCAGGCCAACCATTAGCAGAGTTGACAGAGTTTGGATGGACTATTATATGTCTCCCGGGAAGGAGTCTTGAAACATAACCATTAACCAACTTGCTTTTGACTCAGACATCCCAGGCCGATTACGAAGAGCTGTGTCGTCTGAATATCTTGGGCTTAAAGGATACACCTACTAATGACCAGTACAGTGTGTTTGATGAGTTCAAGGAACAACTCACCCGGGACCAAAGTGGTTGGTACGAGACACGCCTCCCGTGGCGTGGCAACCGCCCTCCATTGCCCAACAATGAATCTAACAGTTTGCGACGATTAACAAGTTTAGCGAACAAACTTGAGCGTCAGGGTTTAACAC